GAGCAGGACCTCCCTTTGCTGTGCAGCTTCTACAAAATGTTAACACGATTGCATCAGTTAATGTCGGCAGAATGTTTTATTTCTTATTTTTTTTGTAGCTGCACTTTAATCGTGCAAATCATCCACTCTTCCGCGTTCCAGATGTTTGATGTTGGATCCAGATGTTAGCCTCTGTGGCCATTTGCTTTAGGATACGGAGCATTATCATCCTGAAAGTAGCCATTAGACAATAGGTTGTAAATTGTGGGTGTAAAGGGATAGACTGCACTTAGCCAGCTGCAGTGGTGTGGAATTGAATCCTTGATTGACTGGTGTTGCCATGAAAACATTCCCACACCATTACAGCTCCACCGCCAGACTGGACTGTTGACACAGGGCACTTTGGTGCTGATGTGAATTTCTGACCCTACCATCTGCGTCACTCTGCAGGCTGTGTTTTTCTGTTCTTCGGTTTCTTGTGAGCTTGTGCCAGCTGCCGCTCCATATTTCTATTTATGTGCGCTCCCGCTGTTGCAGCTCACCCGCTTCGAGGTTGGATGTTTGTGAACTCTGAGATCCTTTTTGTGCTCACAATAGTCATAAAGATTTGTTATCCGAGTTACCTCAGCCCTTCTGTCAGCTCCAACCAGTCTGACCATTCTCCTTTGACCTCTCATCAACAAGACATTTTCTTCAGCAAAACTATTGCTCACTGGATGTTACTTTTTTTTTTTGTCGTGGTTTCATACGTTTCACACAATTCTGAGCAAAGTCTGACTGCTGTACTTGGAAATCCAAGGAGAGGAACAGTACTCCAGTACATCTGGCGCCAACAATATCATTATCATCGAAGTCATCGATGTTCAGTTTGTCCCTCTTCCTGATGTTTCATGTGAACATTAACTGAGATTTACTATGCACATCACTGCTGCCACACAATTGGTTAACTGGATAATTGGTCAATTGATGACTGATTGAATGCACAAGTGCCTGCAGCCCCCAGTAATTGTAATATTGGCCTCCTTTAAATTCAAATGTGGTAGAAAATCTTAAATAACATATTTTGGCTACTTAAACTTATCAATGTGGTTTGCAAGGTTTTATTTACCCTTGCTGTGCTGTTTAGCTCTTTCACTTAAGTAAATCATGTTTGCATGTTTTCTTGTCAGCGAGACTTTGGAGGTTGGTGCTTTTTGAAGTTAAGGCAGTTTTGCTTCCACAAAATTCTAAAATTGATATTTTAATAGAGCAGAAATAATTTCCCAAGGAAAAAAGAAAGACCTGCTTGCAGTGTGATTTATAGTACTAATGAGAACTCATCCTCCAACTTACTCTTAAACACTGATCATAGCACACTGACACCGAGCAGGCAAACCAGAGAATTAAATAAAGATGGATTTAAGAAGCCAAAAACAAATGGAAATTTTAAAAAAGAGAGGCTGTTGTGTCTTGCTTTGTGAACGTGTTCAGACATGAACGGGTCAAAGCTTTCCAAAAGAAAAAAAAAAACCTTCCTCCATTCAGATCTGAAAACCACATTAACTGTTTTTCCTCCATTAACACAACTGAAGTAGATTTTTGCAAATTTACTAAACTGAAGGTTCAGAAATTTCTTAAGTACTTAATTTGCTGCAGATGTTAAGGACACAATATCAGATAAAAGTGAGGAAATAACAAAAAGCCCCAGGTGTAAATCTCCTACCGTGAGCGTAGCCTTTTCATATTAGACACGACTGAATAGCTCCATTCTCTCAGTGTTTGTCAGCTCAGCTTGTTCAGAGCTAATGCAGCGTAAATAAATGTAACGCTTAATGGAAAAAGTGACGTGCAAATGTACATTTTTTGTCATTCGGGGCTATTGAAGCATGATCAGTGATTTGTTATTTTGCCTAGATTAATATTCACAGTACTGTGCAAAAGTCTTGAGCCACCCCTCACATTTTCTTTCCAGTGAGACAGACTGTTGTTATTTATTCATTTATTGTAAAAGCGGTCTGGATCCAGTAGTTATCCAGGCTTTCTTGGGGTCTTTTAAAAGTTTTTTTGTTTTGTTTTTTGACATGGGCTGCTTTTTCTCTCATTTTCAGTCCAGTCCTTTTACCTGACCATTTTCGAAGGAGTGCTTTTTTTCTGCTCTCATCTAAACCTAAGAAAAGCACCTAACTCTATTTAATAACCAATTTTATGTTCACATGTAACAGACAAGTTAGCAAAGAACCAATTTAAACATTTATCTTTAGACATTTTATTACTAGCCTGCTTAAACACACAATTTGTTTGGATTTCTGTAGCTGAATCTGTGAAAAAAATTACCAAAGATGACAGTTTGATAGGCATAAAATAATTTTTTTTT